CAGAAACACTTTATAAAAAGTTTCCAAATCTGTTATTATTCAGTACGAAGGCTTCACTGGATTCCTTATTAAAAGGAAATGTTAGTCACTGAGTTAAAACTCCGTTTTTTGTTTATTTATTTTGTGGAATTCACTTAAAATGAAAGGAAAGAAAATTATATTGTTTATTTTTCTGTTTTTTCCCACTTATTTGTATATTGTTATTATCCCTTTACTCCATATTGTGCGTGTTTTGTTTTTCTGCATTATGCCATGGTAGGTTTTTGCTTTGTCATGTTATTTCTTTTTCTATTTCTCTCTTTGTCTATTTACACACATATGCACAGATTGCAGTGATCCTCAGTGATATTAATAACAAGAATGTCCATGTTGCCGTGCCGTGTGTTGTGTTTGTTGGTCATTGTGCTCTGCTGTGTGGGTGTGACTCATGCTGGTGCTTCAGGTCACGCGGAACGTGTTAAGGAAGCAGAAGCGAAGGTTGATGAGACTTTGAGACTGAAAGAGGAGTGTGAAGAAGCTACCAAGGCTGTTACAGAGGCCGGGCTTGCAGCTCAACGTTTTGCTCATGCCACTGAGATTAATCGCGTAGCAATTGCTGCTGACCCAAATGAGGTGAACAAAACAAAGAGTGAAGGTCTTAAATTCATTGAGAATACAACGAAGGCTGCAAAGAAAGCAGAAGAAGTGCGCGACAGAACTACAGACAGTATAAAGGATACTCGAGACAATTCATTCATCCTTGGTGCAAAAATGGAGGAGGCAGAGCAAGCAGCTGATAATGCAGAAAGCGCGACACGTGATGCTACCAGTGCTATCGAAACTGCGGAAACTCATATTAATGGTGTGAAGAAGGTCCTGAAGGAACTCGAAGACGCAGTTGCTGCAGCTGAAAAGAAAGAAAAGCAGGTGGAGGCTCAGCCACAGGAACAGACAAATGAAACATCTCTTGGTGAGCAGCAAGGCCATACAGAAGGAAATCAGACGGAGCAAACACAAGAAAAACAAAAACAGCACTACCGTTCTACTTTTACGATTAATATCCACGGAGATAATCTCGATGCCTTACTCAATGGTGCAGCGAATAAGAGTGGTATGGCATTAAATGACGGCAGCAGCAGCCCTGCGTTACTGCGTATTCCACTCCTGCTGCTGCTGCTCTCTGTGCTGGGCTGCATGGCCGTGTGCTGAGCACTGTGCTGGGGTCCATCCAGAGAGTGTGGGTAATTACTTGTTTACTGTTAATAATAATAATAATAATAATAATAATAATAATAATATAATTGCTACTGTGTTCAGTATACTGAGCACCAAGTAAATTAATCCCGATGACACCCACTGGGCTAGGGTGCATCAATTTGTGGGGAAATGTTTAATCTCTTTTCTTTTTTATACTTGTAAGCAGAGCATTGCTGTGCACCTCGTGCTGTGTCTCACTCTGCAATTGTGTGTTTCTGGTAAATGATATCTCTTTTTCTTTTTTATTTGCTTTTACATTATATTCGAATGAGGTAACGTTACAGTTTGTTTGTTTGTTCCTATGGGGACACTGCAAATTGTAATGGGGACAGGGAGAAACCAACACATAAAGAGAGGTTTATGCATTATCCGTTATTATTACTGTTTTTGTGTGTGTGTGGCTATCTCTGCAATGTTACCAAAAGATATTCAATTCGTATATAATCTTTTCTTTTTTTCTTGTTGGATTGGATGATTCTTTATTTTGTTTTGAATAATGGTTATTTTTAGTAGTGTATCTATTTTATTTGCGTTCATGCTTAACGCGATATGTGTGTGTGTGTAGTAATAGCGGTGTACTGGTGTTTTGCTTCCTCTCTCTCTATCTCTTTACACACACACACATACAGACACAGATTGCAGTGATCCTCAGTGATATTAATAACAAGAATGTCCATGTTGCCGTGCCGTGTGTTGTGTCTGTTGGCCATTGTGCTCTGCTGTGTGGGTGTGGCTCATGCTGCTGCATCAACACCAGGTATCTCAAGACTTATTGTGTAGGCACGAGAGAAGGCTAAGGAGGTTTTAAAGCTGAAAGAGGAGTGCGAGAATGCCGCCAAGGCTGCTCTAAAGGCTGTGGATGCAGCTCAAGTATTTGCTGTTACCACTAAGACTAATCTCGAAACAATTGCTGCTGACCCAGAAGAGGTGGAGAAAACGAAGAGTAAAGGTGATGAACTCATTGATAAGGCAACGCAGGCTGCAGCTGAAGCAATATCAGTGGACAATAAAACTACAGACAGTGCAACTCAAACTGAAAACGAAACCATTCTTGTTGAGTTACACGCAAAAGATCCTAGGCAGCCAGTACAGAAAGAAATTAAGGGGGTATTGAATGTCATTAACGATGCACGAAACGCGGTTCTTGAGGCTGGAGAAGATATCGACGCTGCGAAAACTTATGTTAATGGTGCGAAGGATGTCCTGCAGAAACTCGATGCCGCAGTTGTTGCTGCTGCCAAAGAGAAGGAGAAGGAAAAACAGGTGGAGCCTGAACCACAGCCACAGGAACAGACAAATGAAACATCTCTTCCACCCAATAATGCTACAATAACGAATGGCACCAAACGAAATGACGGCAGCAGCAGCCCTGCGTTACTGCGTGTTCCACTCCTGCTGCTGCTGCTCTCTGTGCTGGGCTGCATGGCCGTGTGCTGAGCACTGTGCTGGGTTCCATCCAGAGAGTGTGGGTAATTACTTGTTTACTGTTAATAATAATAATAATAATAATAATAATAATAATAATAATAATAATAATAATATAATTGCTATTGTATTCAGTACACTGGGCACCGAGAAAATTAATCCCGATGACACCCACCGGGCCAGGGTACATCAATTTGTATGGAAATACCTAATCTCTTTTCATTTTTATACTTGTAAGCAGAGCATTGCTGTGCACCTTGTGCTGTGTCTCACTCTGCAATTGTGCGATTCCGGTAAATGATATCTCTTTTTCTTTTTTGTTTGCTTTTACATTCTGTGTGAGTGGGGTAACATGTAATTTGCTTGTTCCTATATGGACACTGCAAATTGTAATTGGGACAGGGATAAATCAACACACATGGAGAGATTTATACATTATCCGATATGATTGTTTTTGTGTGTGGCTATCTCTGTAATGTTACCAAATAATATTCAATTCGTATATAATCTTTTCTTTTTTCTTGGGGGTTGGATGATTCTTTATTATGTTTGAATAATGGGTATTTCCCCTAATATGTATACTTCCTATACATTATTGTTTGATTCCATGTGTTTGTGTGTAGTAATAGCGGTGTACTGGTGTTTTGCTTTCTCTCTTTCTTTCTCTCTTCAAACATAGATTGCAGTGATCCTCAGTGATATTTATGACAAGAATGTCCATGTTGTCGTGCCGTGTGTTGTGTCTGTTGGCCATTGTGCTCTGCTGTGTGGGTGTGACTGGCACTACGGGCACTTCTCAGGATCAGCAGGTATCTGCAAATAATAATGTTGCCGCTGCAACGAGTGAGTCAAGTGCTACTGGTGGAGTTACATCAGCAGCAGCAGCAGCAGGAGTATCAACAGTGTCAGATGGAAAGATCTCCGAGAGTGTCAAGGAGGCTCTGCAAGTCGCTAACAAACTGATGGAGAGTATTACAGCAGCACAGACAAAGGCGACGATTGCTGTAGATTCCTATGACAGTGCTGTGCAGAATATTACTGATGCACGGACAGAAGCAACTAATGCTCTGGAATACGCAAAGGAAGCGGAAGACGAAGTGGATAAAAACGGGGGGAAAATCGTGAATGAACTGACGCATATTCGTGAGAAAAAGCAGACGGAACTGGACCGGATTTGGTTGGAAAAGGAGGAGAAACTGAAACAGATTCGGCAGAAAAACCTTGAGGAATCACAAATCAAAAAAACTGCATTACTACAAGTCCAAGCAGCTTCAGTTTCTGAAGAACAAAGCAAAATAACAGAGTCTATTGAAAACAAAATCACCAGTGCGACTGAAAAACTCATATCTATGAGTGAAAAAGTGAATGCAACTGTTCCTCTACTTGAAACGGCAGTAACTGTTGTGACTGAGCTGCAGACTAATGCTGCTGCTGTGTTGGAGGAGGCCAATAAGGTGGTGAGTGCAGCGCAAAGTGTCGAGACCACAACACGCGGCACATCGGAAACCGCAAAGAAGACACACACAGCAGCCACAGAGGCAGTGCAGAAGGCAACAGAGATGCAAAAGAAGATCACGGTGGCAACAGAGAAGGCTACTAAAGCAGTGGAACTCGCAAAGGCAGCAGTAACGACAGTAACGGCGGCAAGGGATAACTTCAACGCAGAGGCTGAAAAAGCAAGGAATACAGTGGATATACCTACTAATATTACGTTTGACTCTCTCCGAAATGAAACAAATAAGAGCGTAAAAGTGGTAACACGAAGTTCTGTTTCTACGGCAGTGCCTCCCGCAGAGCTAACACAACATGCAGGAGCGGTTCTCACTGCTATCACTGTCTCCGATAATGACAAGGCGACAGAGAAAGCAACTGCGAAAAGAAAAGAATTACAGTTAACTGCATCGTTGAGTAAGAAACTCGCGGAAGGAATGTCTTCCAAGCTGAAGGAAGTGCTAGACGCCATACGTAGTGTGCAGGATATGGCGAAGCAGACAAGTGATACTCTCCATGCGGCGAAAGAGTCGGTAAGTGTGACGGTAAGTTCCCTCAAGGATGTTGAAGAAGCAGTGAAGAAGGCGGAAGAGGAAAAAGCAACGGCCCTAAAAAATAAAAAGGATGGAACTGTTGTTGCTTCTACCAGTAAGGATGGCAGCAGCAGCCCTGCGTTACTGCGTGTTCCACTCCTGCTGCTGCTGCTGCTCTCTGTGCTGGGCTGCATGACTGTGTGCTGAGCACTGTGCTGGGGTTCCTTCCAGGGAGTGTGGGTAATTACTTGTTTACTGTTAATAATAATATAATTGCTACTGTGTTCAGTACACTGGGCACCAAGTAAATTAATCCCGATGACACCCAGTGGTCTAGGGTACATCAATTTGTGTGGAAATACCTAATCTCTTTTCATTTTTATACTTGTAAGCAGAGTATTGCTGTGCACCTTGTGCTGTGTATCACTCTGCAATTGTGTGATTCTGGTAAATGATATCTCTTTTTCTTTTTTGTTTGCTTTTGCATTCTGTGTGAATGGGGTAACATATAATTTGTTTGCTTGTTCCTCTGTGGACACTGCAAATTGTAAATTGGACAGGGATAAACCAACACATAGAGGTTTATGCATTATCCGATATGATTGTTTTTGTGTGTGTGGCTATCTCTGCAATGTTACCAAATAATATTCAACTCGTTTATAATCTTTTTCTTTTTGCTTTGGGATTGGATGGAACTTCATTTTCTTTGAATAATGGGTATTTTCCCTAATGTGTATAGTTCCGTTACATTCATGCTTGACTCCATATGTGTGTGTGTGTGGATTAATAGCGGTGTACTGGTGCTTTTCTGTTTTCTTCTTTCTCTCTATCTCTCCTCACATATGCTCAGATTCCAGCGATCCTCAGTGATATTAATAGCAAGAATGTCCATGTTGTCGTGCCGTGTGTTGTGTCTGTTGGCCATTGTGCTCTGTTGTGTGGGTGTGGCCCATGCTAATGCTTCAGGTCAACAAACAGTTGTCTCAAGATTTGTTGAGCAGGCAAAGAAGTTGGCGGGAGTGACCAAGGAACTGAAAGAAAAGTGCGTGAGCGCCGGCAATGCTGCTCGACAGGCAGCGGAAGAAGCTCATGTATTTGCTGTTACCACTCAAAAGAAACTTGAAACCATTGCTGCTAATCCAGAAGAGGTGAAAAAAACGAAGAGTAAAGGTGATGAACTCATTAAAAATGCAATGAAGGCTGCAGCTGAAGCAGAAAAAGTGCGCGAACAAACTACAGACAGTGCAGATAAAACTGACGAGGAAGTCGTTGTTGTTGAGTTACACGCAGGAAGTTCTGATTCACTACCGCAAGAAATTGTGGAGGTATCGAATGTAATTAAAGATGCACGAAACGCGGTATTTGAGGCTGGAGACCATGTCGACGCTGCAAAAACTTATGCGAATGATGTGAAGAATGTCCTGCAGAAACTCGATGCCGCAGTTGTTGCAGCTGCCAAAGAGAGGGAGAAGGAAAAACAGGTGGAGTCTCAACCACAGCCACAGGAACAGACAAATGAAACATCTCTTCCACCCACGAATGCTACAATAACGAATGGCACCAAACGAAATGACGGCAGCAGCAGCCCTGCGTTACTGCGTGTTCCACTCCTGCTGCTGCTGCTGCTCTCTGTGCTGGGCTGCATGGCCGTGTGCTGAGCACTTTGGTGGGGTCCATCCAGAGAGTGTGGGTAATCACTTGTTTACTATTAAAATAATAATAATATAATTGCAACTGTGTTCAGTACACTGGGCACCGAGAAAATTTATTCTGATGATCCCCACTGGGCTAGGGAGCATCAATTTGTGTGGAAATACATAATTTCTTCTCTTTTTTGTACTTGTAAGCAGAGCATTGTTGTGCACCTCATTGTGTGTCTCACTCTGCAATTGTGTGATTCTGGTAAATGATATCTCTTTTTCTTTTTTGTTTGCTTTCACATTTTTTGAGAATGGGGTAACATATAATTTGCTTGTTCCTCTGGGGACACTGCAAATTGTAAATTGGACAGGGAGAAACCAACACACAGAGAGAGATTTATGCATTATCCGTTGTTATTATTTTGGTGTGTGTGTGTGTGTGTGGCTATCTCTACAACGTTACCAAATAATATTCAATTCGTATATAATCTTTTCTTTTTTCTTGTGGGATTGGATGGAACTTTATTTTGTTTGAATAATGGGTATTTTCACTAATGTGTATATTTCATTTACGCTCATGCTTGACTCGATATGTGTGTGTGTAGAAATAGCGGTGTACTGATGTTTTGCTTTCTTTTTCTCTTTCTCTGTCTCTCTTTATACACACAGACTCCAGTGATCCTCAGTGATATTAATAACAAGAATGTCCATGTTGTCGTGCCGTGTGTTGTGTCTGTTGGCCATTGTGCTCTGCTGTGTGGGTGTGACTCATGCTGCTTCAATACCAGGTCAAGCGGGCCGTGTTGAGGAAGCACAGGAGAAGGCTAAGGAGGTTTTAAAGCAGAAAGAGGAGTGCTTGAACGCCGGCGAGGCTGCTCGGAAAGCCGCACATGAAGCTCAACTATTTGTTGATACCACTAAGAAAAACCTCAAAACAATTGCTGCTGACTCAAAAGAGGTTGAGAAAACGAAAAATAAAGGTAATGAACTCAGTGAAAATGCAATGAAGGCTGGAGGGGAAGCAGAAAAAGTGGCCGAACAAACGACAAAGAGTATGGCTGGACCTAAAGACCTAGTCGACATTCTTCGTAGTCTAGGTGAGTATGATCTGGCGACATCTGTTGAAAAAAAAATTTAAGAAGCATTCCTTGCGGTAGGTGTTGCTTATGAACATGCTGACAATGCGCGAATGTTTGCTATTGACGTGAGGAAGGTCTTGCGGGACCTCGAAGCCGCAGTTGCTGCTGCCAAAGAGAAGAAGGAAGAAAAACAGGTGGAGACTCAGTCACAGACACAGGAACAGATAAATGAAACATCTCTTGGTGAGCCGCAAGGCCATACAGAAGGAAATCAGACGGAGCAAACAGAAGAAAAACAGGTGGCGCCTCACCCACAGGCACAGGAACAGACAAATGAAACATCTCTTGGTGAGCAGCAAGGCCATACAGAAGGAAATCAGACGGAGCAAACAGAAGAAAAACAGGTGGAGTCTCAAACACAGCCACAGAAACAGACAAATGAAACATCTTCTGGTGAGCAGCAAGACCATACAGAAGGGAATAAGACGGAGCAAACACAAGAAAAACAAAAACAGCCTTCT